CGTTTTTATTCCGTTTTTAAGTAGTCTGCCATAGTTGCCATAGTTGTCATAGTAAGTTATATATAAGAAAAAATGTAGAAAAAAAAATAAGTGGAAAAATACCGTGGCAGACCATGGTACTGTGGCAGGTAAACCTGCCCCACGGAGGGGTGATGTAGGTACTGCGAGGCCCTTGAGGCCGAGGTGGGGTGAGCGCTAGCGAGACACACTACCAGCCCGACGACACTACGAAAAAAATCTGTATGATTTTATGAACGAAGTGAAAAAAATCATACAGTGTGGAGCTATAAGCTTTTAACAAGTCATCCATAGCCTGATTACGAATATCATAGGGGTCTCAAGTACCCATTTTAGTTCTGGAGTAGTGTTAAACGCTTTAGCGTTAAGAAAGTGTGCACGCAAGTCTTTTTTATTTCGTTTGATGTTCTCCTTTGTAATGCCATGAAGGCACTTGTTATATGTCCAACGAGCAGTCCCCATCCATTTGCGTAATTTCTCTCGTTCTTCTCTTTTAGGATACAAACGAATCCGTATACATTTTCCAGCAGGTACCTTATCTGTTTTTCTCTGGCTGCTTTTTACTTGTTTGCTGGCAACTTCATTATTATTAACGAGTGAGGTAATTCTCTCTATTAGTATGTTATGAAGTGGGCTGCTCTGTTCCTGCTGCATGCTTGTTCTAATGCCCGAAAAAGAAAACCATTTATTCTTCTGCTGTGTACGAGCACTGGATAATGCATTTTTGTTGTTTATAGTTCTAGGTACCCATAGTTTTTTGGAAAGCAATTCTGTCGATTTATTCCAAAAAAGACCAGTTGTCGACGTTTTATTTGTAATAAAACATCATGGTGCGCCCAGATATTCGTCTATTCCAACTGTATTTTCTTGCATACAGAATGAATTCTTATGTTTAATATGTAGAACAAAATTTTTATTAGTTTTCTATTCGCATTTTCATTAACTTAAGTTCACATGATCATTATTGTAGACGATCGACAAATGCGAATTATTTTTTAACGGAAAACTATGTTATTCCCATGGATAAAATGATCATCAAATGAATTCTCAATAAGGATTAAAGTCCGTGATTGGACATCGCAGATCCATGAATACGTAATGGTTTTCATACACTTTCCAGAAAGTTCGTATTGCTGATTACCATATCATAGTTTGTATGGTTAATATAACAGGGTGCGCATGGGAATAAAAATTGAAATACAAATACGGTATATGTCAACAATGGGCCTCTTAATGTATCAAACTATGGAAGAAATTGCATTTCCATCAGTTCAAGAATTCAAAGCATTTAATCCGTCCAAACTCTGTTTATTCTTAAAAAATAAATTTAAAGATGAAATAGAAACTTTTCATTACTTTGAAATTCTCGAACAAGAGAAAGTTAGTGGTAAAAGCTTTATGCTATTAACAAGAGAACACATACAGGGCCCTCCATACGATTTTCCTCTTGGGTCTATTTTATTAATCGAAGAGTTAATCAGAAAACTCAAAAGTCAGGAAGAAAGTAAGTATTCATAACTTGTATTACTAGTATGAACATTTACCATAGATATATGATAATTAAATAACGATAAATATAGAACAAAAATCCCTAATCGGATGATAGAAAATAGTGCATTATGTATATGTCGATCATAATAGATTTTTTATTGATTGACAAACATAGTAAAAGGACGCAGTTGATTCATCTAACTGAAAATAGATAATTAAGGAGTATTGTGCCATCGGATGATAGAAACGTCAGCATGTAGATGCATAAGATCCACAAAAAAATTCTCAATACGGATTAACTGATAAGCAGATAATGAATCCGTGTATGCGTAATAGTTTCCAGAAAGGTCGTACTATGGGATATATTATTAACTATCTGGTTACAATCATGATTGACGATAACAGGTTACAGGTTATTCGTGGGAATAAAAATTGAATTATAAATACGGAATTAATCTCAGAATGGGCCTCTTAATGTACCAAAATATGGAAAATTCATCTGTCCAAGAAAATATATTTCTGTCAGTTCAAGAGTTCGAAGCGCTAAATTCGTCCAGTCTTTGTGAATTCTACAAAAAAATTATAATCAAGAATTTTCCCCTTATTTTGAAATTCTTAAACAACAAGTAATTAATGGCAAGAACTTCAAGTTATTAACTAAACGACAACTCGAAGACGCTCCATTCAAGTTTCCTGTTGGGACAATTTTGCTGATCGAGGATTTAATCGAAAAACTTAAAAGTTTAGAAGGTAATCATAACTCGTAATGCCAAGCGGGTATATTTACTACAAATGCATTATAATTACACTAGAGTTTATTAAATGGCTGCCAAATTTTCATGTTCGATATAATGGAATAACGAAGAAATCTAACAACTGTAAAAGATATCGAATAGTAAGGTTTAAAATGTTTCGTAAATTACTTGAAACAAGACATCATTTAACTCGTATAGAGAAGCCCTGTATCTTAAACGAAAGAGAACAACCTAGTTGTAGTGTAATTAGTGTTGTCTAGGTGACAGATGTTATAGGAGTTTCATTTTCACTAGAAATGGGCTCCGCCCAAAATCAAAGACTAGTGTCATTACGTAGTTGGAACAATTGCTAGGATTCGAAAGAGTAAAAGCCCAGATTTGTTTTTAAAATTAGGACATGTTTATTACTAATTTGCTGAACATCTGTACTTATATGATATGCGTGAACTCATTCAACATTTTTCTTCCAATAATTTTTATAAATAGGCGTGGGGGTATAGAAACCTCTATGGAAAAAATGAATATAACAGAAAATTTAGGTATGTGATTTGCTCATTGATGATTGTGTAAAAGTAAATTATGCCGTGGGTTAATGTTTTTCTTTTTTGTTCAAAGCTCATTCCAAATTAAACGATAACGGATTACTTCGAAGATTATTCAAATGCATAGCCGAGGCTCATGAATTCTCGTATAAGGCGATTGCCGACGATATAAGGTCAACAAACCACTCTATCAGTGAAACCACAGTAGGAAAGTTTTATCGTGGTGAATCTGAACTTACTCTGGGTAATAAATTAGCTGTTCAGAAGTGGGTAGGAAAATTTATAGACGAATGGAAAAGGGATAATCAAAGTGTAACAATTTTGGTCAAATTGGATACTACAAAAAGCACGAAGTAATGTCAAATAAATTATTAGTTCACGAAATCGATATACACAAGTTATTATGTATAATTATCATACGTTGTATCTGAAAATATTACATTGATTTGCGATGAATCTTTCACTGAATAAAATTCCATTATTTTTATTTCATACAACTACGAGCATTATTTATATTAATTCGTTAACATGAGACTTCTCTTATACCTCTCTTCTACTTCACGTGTGCTTCACGTGTGCTTCACACTGTTTCACGGAAAGACGGGCTACTAACTTGGCAATGTACGAATCCAAAAACCCAGAAATCAAAAAATAACAATACCATGATTCGTTTTATGAACTGATGACAATATGTTTTCACCCAGGTAGAGTTCTTGCAAAATATTTTGGACGTAATGTTCGTAATCCAGGATTGAAACGGACAACCCTAAATCACGTTTCCAACGTAATATTGATTTGGTCATTTTCGTTATTCCTGAACTTCGTAATGCGTCTCTATAGTAGGTTAAAAGGTAACGAAAAAATATTGTGATATAAGCATGTATTTATAGTATACGAAATTTATCATTGGATTGTTATTTTTGCAGAACAGCTGTCCAAAAAGCGAATACCAGCTCATCATACAGGGACTATTAAATAATTTCAGAGTTCAGAAAACCGTGAATAAAATTCAGTGGAACTAGGCGAAGCCCACAATTAGAGTTACATGATTAAAATCGTAAATAATCTTTATTACCATGATTCACTTTGTGTTTATAGATCAGTGATACAAATGACATTAATGTGGCTTTAGCCAGTTCCACTAATAACTAGTTTACGTTACATTCATTTGTAATTGTTATCAATAAAGTTACACTACACATAATAGTAAAGTCTTTTGTTCTTGGTGGCTCAATTTATGTCCATTTTTCTCCCACACTTTAAACGAAATTAATTATATACAGTAGATCATTATCTGAAACAAAGTAACGGCTAGCGTGTTATGATTACATGTGTTTCTGAGCTCTGCTCACGAAGTGAATTTTTCTCGATTACGGTAACTAAACAGTCTGTACACGATAAGAACTTACTGTTGACCATATCCCATCTTCGGACCACAATAAACCATAGGCATGATGGATTGGCCAATTTAAGTTAGATACGCCACGGTACTAACAATTCCTTCTAATATTATAGATCACGTGCTTGTATTGTTATTGGATGTCCATGCATTATGTAATCTTGGAACAACGAGATCGTGACCCGAGAGTCACAGTCATCTACAAGTCTGATGATTTATATGGTTAAATAAGTATGTTCTTTTTTGTGAACTAAAGGAGACCACATGTCTCCCAATACAACGAGGATATGTGTAGAATGACGATTCTTCTACCTTGTGCAATCATAATACGTAATAGCATAGAGAAATTGTTGAAACCAAGAATTCCATCATCACATGATTACCAAATTAGTTCATCCTTTTTTTGAACTGTTCTGAAAAGAAAACGTATTAGAACTCGTCGGTTCACTTGTTCTGTCTCCTTTGGATTGATTCATAGTTGTTCACGTTATTCCGCCTGTTGTCCACTAATATCCTTTCCGCAGTTGATATTCAAGGGATACTGCGTATCTGTTGTCCACTCATATTTGTTGAACTATGCCAGGTTCACATGATACTCAAAACATTTGTGCAGAGTGTCATATGATAACACGTGAAATTAAATTAGGATCTGCTGTTTCGTGTTATTCTTTTTTTAGTATCAAGGGACACTGCGTATCTGTTATCGGATTTCTGTTGATTTTTCTGTCTCCTATCTCTTATACTTCCACTACAAATCTAATATTTCGAGGATATATAGATTGTCAATATCTGCGCATAATACAATGAAGGTTTGCAACTCTCTTAAATAAAGTCTCGGAAATTATTATTAGAAGTACGTTTAAAGATAACATCATTGATATATAACGAAGTATGTGGAAAACGCAAATCGGAAAAGGATAGATACTATCTCTAAACTGACATCGAACGAATGCCCACGGCTAAGATATTTCGGGTAAACACTATTCTTCAGAAATTAAGTGTGCGCAAACAATCTATCCGGTTGAAAAAACAAAATAACTTGATACGGATAAGCATGCTAATGGAACTACTTCGTAGGCTCTGCCTAGACTTCGCCCAAAATTCCCTTCAGATATAATGTAGCATAGGAGAATATCTTTCACGTAAAAAATCTCTCATTTTGCTCTTCGAGCAGTCTCCGACTGATCGCCCTTGTAATGATAAAGACAGATCATATTCGTGATATTTTTGTGAATTTCGTAGTGCGATTAAATGATAAAAGTCAGGCTCCTTGTTAATTTCTTTATTAGCATACATAAATGAATCCGGAAACAACTTACATGTTTAATATAGTTTGTTTCGAAACAAATGACATCAAGAAAGTATTAAGCACCGAATGGAAAAAGTCTAATACCTGATCAGGATAATACGCAATAAATATTTTCCATGAAAGCTTAAAAGCTGGTTATTACTCTTCTAAGTATGACGAGACGAAAACAGTGCGACTACTTCAGATAAGTACTAATCGATTCCATGCACTGTATTTCATTAATCTTGTGAACATTTCCTTAACGTAGATTAGGAATCTTCGCATACCTTTGTTATCGCCATTTAAATAATGTTAGGGTACTGTGGACATACTGTACAGTATACGAGATATTCTACTTGTACCCTTTGGGTAGTTAGCTATTATTTTCGACTACAATAATCGCTGTGGAAAAAATATAGGCAGAGCCTACGAATGTTTTTAAGTTCATATATGAATTTCATACTTTTATATGATGCTATATCAAAGCACTCCTTGCAATGTTTTCCATAGTTAGAAATCGAGAAACAAGCATGTTACATTTCACAATATGTTGACCGTATTTTTCATATGTATTCTAGCTGAACTAGGCATAACTCCATCAGTTTCTAATAAATAGGGGCTACATGTCATCATTGCTGCGGCATTATATGTAAGGTTAGCCAATCCTATTCATTATTCCGTTGCACTATGTATGATTGTATGACCAATGGATTATCGAAAAATTGCGCAGTGCATCTAATTGTCTAATATCGCATGCACAGGGGATAAATATTCCAGATATCTTTTTTCTTGAATAACCTTTCTTAAATTGAATACACAATACCCATACGTGTTTCCACTTGGATATAATCTTGGTGTTGTAAACTAACATGTCAGAATATGTATTCTAGTGCTTCCTACAAGGAGATTCACAAAGGTTTCCCGTTTATGTTAACCACGGAAGCAAGACACTATATCAACTTAGGGAATTGATTAGAAAAGGAAAAAAAAGTGTTTTCCGCTATACTGACCCCATCGATATAGTGTTATGGAAAATAGACCTTCCTTACGACGAAAAAGCAAAACTGCAGAATCTTGAGCATCATCCAGATATCGATACTTACGTCGAAGAAGAATTACATGGGAAAGCATTGTTAAATCCAATATCAACTATAGAGAGTGTCTTTGGTCCGGCGCTTGAAAGAAACCATTTTCATATTTTCATTAAAAAACCCGTATTTACTGTTGCTTTCAAGTTTCATGAGATCTATAATATAATTAACGAGTTAATTGAGGAGCGTATTCAACAAGGTTTGCCTACATAACTACTTTTGTCTTGTACGGTTATAGTTGCTGATACATGACCATTGGAGTTTTATAATTCGATTACTTTCTATCTAGATACTCCTTCACATGTTGCGGAATTCGGAAAAGAATTAACTGAATTATGTTCTTTGGGGATCAGAGAAGGGGATATTTTACGCTTTAAAAAAACGTACACAAAATTGTTGAACACAGAAGTTATCCTAAGTTTTAAGGTAATGTGATGCCTGGTCCGAAGATTTTACGAAATATTTTTTTGCAGCCCTCTTATCCTTAAATTTCATTCATTGAAATTAACTCATTCTGAAACAGGTAATAAAAATAGAAAATGGTAAACAGTTACTTAACGTAGATTCATTAGAAGCAGCAGAGATTGTACACTCATTCTTAGGTATTCCTAAACTTTCGTATTCTTCTTCTGGAGCGGACAGATTATCACATGAAGTAGAGAACTCTTCCATACACTTAAGTCTTAGAGGCTCGTAGGCTGCGGGGTCATGCATGACAGAGAAACGGGATATAAATAATTTAAATATACAGTATATGCACTGTACTAATTGTATTGTTATTGTTTCATTTTATCAAATTATCTTTTTTTTATTTTAGTCATTTGAATTTTTTAAAGTATAACGCCGTAGTTCATTTTTCGACTGCATGATTGCATGATTGCATGATCAACATACTGTATTAACTTTAAAAAGTTAAACCGATCTACACAAAAGCAAGATTATTTCCATATTTATACTTTGTTTTAGCCCTTTTCTGCTTTTGTCCTTTCTTTTCGTAATTTTTTGATATTTATCCTATTTTTTTTTCTTTTATCAGATAAATATTAACCGAACCGTAATTTTATGTTATTCAAGTTTAAAATAACAAAACTATAATGAGTTAAAATTTAGCCGAAAAGATTTCGTAGATCTTAATTTGTTACACTCAAATTTTATTCTATTAAAATTTCGTATCTTACTATCTTGTTCAACCTATAAAATAAAGAAACATGAAACAATTGAAATATGGGTATCAAAAAATTTTACCTATATAAAGAGGTAAAAAAAAAATTATTATTTTTTTTTTTAAATCACAACTTTCAAATAATTTTGCTTTCTTAATTTTGATTTTATTAATCTTGCTTTTTTTTTTAATTAACCTTTTTTTCAAACCTTAAAATTTTAATTTATCAGCTGAAGATCACGCGGTGTGAGGCTGTGTTACATTGACTTTGATTTTGATATTCATCGAAACTTTTTTTTTTTTCATTGATGGCGGATACTCTGGGAATTATACGACGAAAGTCTCTTGGAAGAGTCGCATCAATTGGATCTTTATATAATGCCACGAGAGATACCTTCTGTGGGACTACGATATTGAAGTCTGATTTTCCAAATGATTCCATAACCAGGGCTGACGTTTCAAATAATGAAGTATTATTTGAATATAATGATTCATATGTGGAAAAGTTTAATAAGTTGGACGTTGAAGATGAGCTAAGATTAAGCATTCTCGCAGGATTATTCACTTCAGAAGGTTCGGGGAAATATTTAATTGATATGAAAGAAAGTTTTAAATCTGTGAAGGGCGCTTTAATATACAAATTGACTTCTATTGAGGAAAATTTAAACATTCATCGTGATGATGTTAAAACTTGTATATCTACAGATGGCTTTAATAATGATCAAGGCGCTACTCACATCGTGATAGGAATAAAATGGGGTGCTAATATTATAGCATCATTTGAATATAATGATATTGATGAAGAGAATAAGACGCAAGTTGAAAGGGTGCTAAAGTCACAAATCGAAAAAATTACTTCTTCTAATGAAGATCACTTGGATGTTAAAGAAGATCAATCAGATATTATGAGTCACTTTTCTATAAAACTTCTTGGAGACATTATTATTGACGACGAAGAACTTCCTAAATCATTTGATGAAATCAGAAAAGTTATATCTGAATTTCCTTCGTATATTAAAAAATATGATGATGGGAAAGGGGTTCCAATTGAATATATTCTATATCCATTAGCAGAACTTGCGAATCTAATTACTCCAAACTTCAAATTCAGCTACATGAAAACGGCGGTGTTGAGCAAAGAAATTATTTTAAAAGTAGAACGATTTTTCGATACTTTGTCTGAGTCAAAAAAAAGGCTTAATGATTTATACAACGATGCAAAATCCATCTCGAACATCATATCCGATAAGATCTTTAATAAAATCAAAAGTCGGGTGCAAGAAATTACGTTAGAAGAAACGAAATTCAAGGATGAATTCGCAGACTGTCTTTTTAAGGTACGCTCTGGAAAAAATAATATCAACGGAATTGAAAGTAAAATGGAGTCATTTAAAAACAGTAACTTATCCAAGGAATTCATCATGACATTTATTAATTACCATCAATTGGTACCTTTAAAGGCTGGCTTGCTAAAATCCAAAAAAGTTGAATACCTTGATGAGAATTCAAATATTGAACACATTCTGCATAATTATTCAAACAATCATGTATTTATACTCATTGATAACAATGATTGTATCGTTGATAATAATTCATTATCAGTATATAATATATTTCGAGACTTGTGTGATCCGAATGAGGGATTGAATAAGTTCTTCATGGCCGATACTAAAATATGTACTGGGTTAAAAAGTTCTAGTTATCCGGTAATTCAACATTATATTAATGGAAAACTATTTTGTGACGACTATTATAACTGTAACAAAACATTATTCACGTCAAATCTGGTTAAGTTTGATCCCTTACCACGAACCAACCTAAAATTTAATCCCAACGAAAAGATTAAACTATTAGTACCTTGCCCTCGAGTTGATTGTCAATCTGTTGGCTGCAATTGGAAATGTTACAAATGTCAGCAGGACATCGAATATGGGTATAATCAGCACTTTTATTGTGGGTGTGGTGAAAGCGAAATCGCTAATTGTAAGTTCAAGTGTAACAGTTCCCATCATATTGAAGGATATATACCTTTCAAATTGGATACGCTTATTGATTTATTACCATCAGAAACTCCTGAAGAAATAAATATACTATTGCTTGGTGAAACAGGTGTAGGGAAATCAACATTTATAAACGCCTTTGCGAATTATCTTAAATTCGATACATTAGCTGATGCAAAATCTGGGGATATGATTGAACTTATTTCATCCATTTTTACAATAACGGATGAAAATTATGATACGAAAACAATAAAAATTGGTGATAATGATTCAAATGAACAACTAGAAAATGTAGGTATGTCATGTACTTTGGGATGTAAAAGTTATCTATTCTATGGACCTGGAAACAAACTCGTAAGATTGATTGATACTCCCGGAGTGGGTGATACTAGAGGATTAGATCAAGATAAGAAAAATTTTGAAAATATTTTATGTTATATTAGCCATTATCAATATTTAAATGGAATATGTATTCTTCTTAAACCAAATAATTCACGTTTAAATGTAGTATTTAAGTTTTGTATACAAGAATTATTATTACATCTTCATAAGAATGCAAAGGAAAACATTGTATTTTGCTTTACAAATGCTAGAGGAACATTTTATCGTCCAGGAGATACTTTACCACCACTTAAAAAACAACTTAAAGAACTTGAAAAGCGATCTAACGTTGAAATTAAAGTCAATCAAGATACACTATACTGTTTTGATAATGAATCATTTAGATTTCTAGCAGCAATAAAGAATGGTATATCATTTACTGATGCATATGAAAAAAGTTTTGCGGAAAGTTGGAAAAAGTCGATGGATGAATCATCGAGACTTATTGAGTATATTATGACACGACCCCCTCATAAAGTTAAAGATACTCTTTCACTTAATAATTCAAGAAATTTAGTAATGCTTCTTTCTAGACCTCTTGCAAAAATGGAGCAACTTATACAAACGAATATTAATCAAATTGAAGAACAACAAAAGGCATTAGCAGATTCTAATCAAACCATAGAAGAACTTAAAGAAAAAATGTATATTAAACAACTGGATCTTGAACCTGTAGCGTTAGAATATCCTAGAACTGTTTGTACCAATGATAGTTGTATTGAATTACGTAAAGTTGAAAAATCAAATATTCAATATATAAATTATAAAAAACATTGTGATCCACATTGTTATCTACCATTTGCTAAATTTAATGTGATGAATCAATTCTTATGGTTATGTGGGGCTATGTCAAAAGGAAAATGTAAAGTTTGTAATTGTGAATGGAATAAACATAAGCATATCACTTATGAAAACAAACCAGTAACGAAAATATTTATTGATCTTAATGTAGAATGGAGAATCTTTGAAGAAAAATCATATCAAGAAATAAAAGAAGAAATCATAGAACAATATCAAACAAGAGTTAATAAATTAAAAAAAGAAAAAGAGACCATGAATAAAATTTGTGTTAAATTTGCACAATTTTTAAGACAAAATGCGATAGCTACTTTTAATGATACATATGTAGATTATTTAGATCTATTCATAAATGAAGAAAAGATTAAGAAAGGTAATGAACCGGAACTTTATGATGATAGAATCCTTAAAGGACTTGAAGAAACTAAAAAAAATTATTTGGAACAAATAAAATTTATAAAACAAGCAATTAATAACAACAATCCTTCAATATCTCCAATTTCACCTGAAGATATAGTTGAACTCGAACAACAATTATATAATCTACCGATCAATGGTTCAACTCTAAAAAAAATAAAAGAAGAAGCGGAGAATAGTCAAATTAGTGCTTTTAAATATAAAGAAAATCATTGTATGCTTTTAGGAAATGATTTTTATCAAAAATTACTTTCAAAATCCAACACGTTAGCCAATAAGATAACTAGTAAATTACATTCTTAATCACAATCATGTTGTTTTTTTGTATACTGTATATCAATTAATATTATTTGTTATTATGGCGTAAAATTTTTATAATTTATTGTTTAAAAAATATTAAATTTATTTTATTAAATAAAATTTTTATATTCTACCTATTTGTAGTTATGGTTTAACAGGTGGTGTATGTAAACATGGGGCCGAAATATTATGGTACATTATACCAATTCGACAGGTGTAATACTGGCGTAATACTATTTTAATATGAATCTTTGAACAAGTGTAATAAATTTCATCAATACCATCAATACGCTGCCTAAATACAGAATTATCTGGAATAATCACGTCCCCATGTATAGGTATATGCAAAATAATCATTAATTTATATCGTGTATGAGCGAGAGAATCAAGAATAAAATCGAGTTGATCAATTAATCGATCATGATTTTTTGAGTCGTAACTGTACATTTTATTAAATTCGTGCCTAATTTTAATGTCTAATCACGGGATTAATCAAATCTTATCTTGCTCGCAAATAATAAATTTAATAGTCTCGAGTAGTCTCAAATCAATAATATTTAGTTCGAAACAAGAACGGAACCAAAGAATTTATAATCTAACTATAATTACAAAACTAAATAATTATCAACATTTTGATTATTGCCAGGAACGGAAACCGTAGTAATTATTCTGAGCGAAGCGAAAAAAAAGATACAACCAAAATTTGTGATTTCATTGGCTAACGATCACGTGACTGACAGAGAAACACGCAAATTTTTATATTGCGTACACATATGTAGTCCTTCGCTTCGCTCCGGAGTCTCCGGACAATAACTCAGTATTTTATAGAGAATTATAAGTTAGAGGATGCAAATATTTAACATGAAATTAAATATAATTCAATATATTTGTTTTAAACCCAATAAATTTTATTGATATCAAAAAGAAAAAAAAAAAACGGACAAAACAAAACAAATATAAATTCAAATTTTAAATAATTCAAAAATATCAAAACTTATTGTCCAAGAAAGGATATTTTCAATTAATAGATATTTAGATGTTAATACTACTAGTATTTATTGACTTGATTTTTCTGAAAATGAGTTATCTGAAAATCTTTGCGAATGTACTTGATATAAAATTTTTTGATCTTGAATAATAACTTTCTCTATATCTGAACACATTATTCTGACTACGCTTTGCTTCATCTTTAATTTTTTTTAGAGTATGACCATTAATTGGTAAATTGTACAATTGCTGTTCAAGCTTGGCTATATCGTTTGGTGATATTGTAGGCATGGATGGATCATTAGTTTCAATTGCTTTTTTAATAACCTCAATTTGTTCCAAATAACTTCTTTTTGTAGCTTCAAGTCCCTTGAGAATTTCGTCATCATAGCGATTAGGATCGGCACTCTTCTTAATTTTTTCTTCGTTTATGAAATGATCCAGATAGTCCGCATATGCATCATTAAAAGCGGCAATTGCATTTTGTCTTAAAAATTGTGCAAACTTTAAGCTAATTTCATTTATTGTATGCTGTTCTGTTTGCAGTTGATTTACCCTTTCTTGATAATCCTCTATAATTGCTTTTTTGGTTTCTTGATCTGATTTCTTTTTTGAAATCTGCAACTCTACATTTTGGTCGACAATTTTTTTTACTACTTTTACATTCTCGTATGTAATATGCATATGCTTATCCCATTTACAGTCACATAAATTGCATATTCCTACTGGATTCATAGCAGCGCATCCTCTTAGTGCTGGGGTGTTTACTTCATTGCATGTAATACCGTCTAAATAACAATGGTCGTGACAGTGTGTTACATAATTTACCTTGCTAATATTAGTTTGTTCAATTTGCAATGATTCGACACAACTAATGCTGGTACATACGGTTCTTGGATACCCTAATGTTACCGGTTCGAGATCTATTTGTGGAATATATAGATTTTCTTTAAGCTCTTCTATAGTCTTAGCAGAATTTTTTATTTCATTTTGTTGTTCCTTGATTAACTTAATATTTGTTTGAATAAGTTGTCCTATCTCTGCGAGTGGTTTAGAAAGAAGGACTACTATATTTCTAGAGCTATTTAGCGACAGAGTATCTTTTACCTCATGAGGTTGGCGTGTCACAAGATACTGAATAAGTCTTAATGATTCTTCCACAGACTTTTTCCAACTTTCTGCAAAGTTTTGTTCATCTGCATCCGTAAATGATATATTTTTCTTTATTGCTGCTAGAAATCTAAATGATTCGTTATCAAAACAATATATAGTATCATGATTGACCTTTATTTCAACGCTAGATCGTTCTTTGAGGTCTCCAAGTTGTTTTCTAAGTGGTGGTAATGTATCTCCTGGACGGTAGAAAGTTCCTCTAGCATTTGTAAAGCAGAAAACAATATTATCCTTTGCATTTCTATGAAGGTGTGATAACAATTCTTGTATGCAGAACCTAAATACTACGGTTAATCGAGCATTATTAGGCTTGAGAAGGATACATATTCCATTTATATACCGGTGATGACTAATATATTTCAGAATATTTTCAAAATTTTTCTTGTCTTGGTCTAATCCTCTAGTATCTCCTATTCCAGGAGTATCAATCAATCTTATGAGTTTGTTTTCAGCTGCATAGAAGACATAACTATTACATTCTTGAGTTGATGACATTCCTACATTTTCTACTTGCTCATTTGGATCATCATTGCCTATTTTTATTGTTTGAGTATCATAATTTTCATCTGTTAATGTAAACTTAGATGATATTAGAACTTCCATATTTCCAGATTTTGCTTCTTTTAATGTATCGAATCTCAGATAATTTACAAAAGCATTTATGAACGTGGATTTTCCTACGCCAGTCTCACCAAGTAATAATATATTTATTTCTTCTGGAGGCTCCGACGGTAGCAGTGTGGTAAGTGTGTTGAATTCAAAAGATAGAAATCCTTCATTATGATCAGGACCATTGCATTTGAATTTGCAATTGCCGATACTACTTTCACCACATCCACAGTACAAATGCCAGTTATATCCATATTCAACGTCATGCTGACATTTGAAACATCTCCAATTACAAAATGTAGAACAATTAGCTTGGGGACAAGGTATTAGTAATCGCGCCTTCTCAAGAGGATTATTTTTTGGTTTGAAATGTGGCTGAGGATCAAATTTAATAAGATTTGATGTAAATAACATTTTATTAGCATTGTAATAATCATCACTTTCTAATTTTCCATTAACATAATGATGAATTACTGGATAACCAGGACCTTTTATTTTGGGACATATTTCAGGGTCAGCTACAAAGAACTTACTCGATTTCTCATTTAAATTATATAAATCTTGAAATACATTATGCACTGGCGATGAACCATCATTAATAATATTTTCATCAATAAGTATATAGACATGGCCTTTTGAATTCTTACGCAGAATATTATCAATAGTAGAAATCTTGCCGAGATACTCTACATTTTTTTCTTTAAGAGTAAGTACCAAGTCAGCCCTTCTCGATAATGATTGGTATTGATCAATGAACGTCGTAATAGAACTCTCGGATAAGACACCTTTCTGAAATTTCATCATTATGCTCTCAAGCTCATCAATATTACTTTTTCCAGAACGTATTTTAACTAGACTTTCCGCGAACTCCTTTCTAAATTTCGCTTCCTCCAATCTTAATTCTTGTACATGTTTGTTAATCTCATCAAAGGTCTTATAGGATATGAGATTAGAGATATATTTTGCATCATTAAATAAATCATTGAGCCTTTGTTTTGATTCGAATAAATTATCAAAAACTTGATCTACTTTTAGAATAATTTCTTCACTTGGTTCCATTATTAAACTATTAACTGTGGTATTTATAGTAAGTTGCCTCGCAAGTTCTGACAATGGATAGAGAGTATATTCAATTGGAAATCCTTTCCCATTATTAGATTGTTTGGCGTATGAAGGAAACTCTTTCATGATTTTCCTTGCTTCATCAAAGGATTGAGAAAATTTCTTATTATGCGGTACAGCATCTCCGAAAAGCTTTATAGCGAAACGTTTCATAAGTTTAAGTTGATTCTTTTCAGCGTCTACGTCACCATTCCCAGTAATAGAAAGAGATAATTTTTCAAAATAAGACTTTAACGCTTCTTTAACTTGATGCTTGTCCGATTCCTTCATGTTTTTACATTCATATGATGCAATCATAGTAGCTCCCCATTTTATTCCTATCACGACGTGAGTAGCATCTGTGTTACTAAATCCGTCAGTAGAAATGCATGCTTTAACATCATCACGACAAATATTTAAATTTTCTTCAAATGAAGTCATTCTATATATTAGATTGCCTTTTACAGTTTTAGAACCATCCTCTACATCGCTTAAATATTTTCCTGAACCCTCTAAAGCAAACAGTCCCGCGAGAACGCTTAATTTTAGCTCAGCTTCAACGTCTAATTTGTCGAACTTTTCCTTATATAGATCATCATATTCATATAATAATTCACTGTTGGGTATGTCAACTCCGTTTATGGAATCATTTGGAATCTTCGTTTTAAATATCGTAGTACCGCAGAACGTATCCCTTGTGCCATTATATAGAGACCCAATAAATGCGGCTCTACCTAGTGATTTTCGTTTTAAAATTTTATTAGCAGTGTCTGTCATTAGAAAGCTTAATTGCAATACAGAGTATTAAAAATTAAGTCTTTTTAAAGGTTTTTTTCGTTCAGTACATCTTATAACTTAAACACTCGCACAAATCTCCTATTACGGAAATATCCTTCCAAATCAAAAATTATTGCCTTTTTGAGAAACAATTACGAATTTTTAAAAGGCCAATCTTTGTTGTAACACGAAGTAACATGTGAATTGTTCATTTGTACTAATAATAATATCTATTTTAATCGAACAAGCTAAGATATTGACAATATTAACTTATTTTTTTGATTGTTTGATTGTTTGAAATTTTTTTTTTTTTTTTTTTTTTTTTTTTAGTGATTGTCCTATTACCAATCGGAATTATGGTTTAGCCGGCTAATCAAAAAAAAAAGAAAAAAAATTCATTCTGGATAATTCAGTTAATATCTTTTTGAAAATTCAGTATTTATTTAATTTTAATGAGTATACATTGTCTTCTTGTTTGTTGTATTCGAGACATATAAAATTTTATAAATTAATTTTATTAGTAATAAGTCGATTCAATGGATATGTAATAACACATTTCCGGAAAGTATGTGTCACTTGTGTCATGCAAACAGCCTGCCTTATTTGTAATGATTTTTCAATTTCACCTCCTTTCACTTTAATTATTTTGGTAAGATATTTGGGTTGATTTTTTTGTTATCCAGAAAAATGCCTAGTATTTACTATTTGTGTAAAATATTTTTTTTTTAAAACAAAAGCGTCCCGTGTTAAACAGGAATTATAAGCAAACAATTGAATTTAATTGTCGATATCGTAGTCATCACAGCTGGTATTTTTTATATTTTTTATGTTTGGAATTGTCGCAACTGACAATTGCACTAACTACGAAATGTAAATAAAAATTTAAAATATTATAATAAGTAGTACAACAGCAACTTGTTTGAAGTCAAAGTTATTGTATTACAGCATGCTTAATGAATACAATGTATTGTGCATCATAATATAAAAATTTTTTTATGATTATTCTCCTTATGATTATAATTTCTTGTATTCATATCTGTCAGATGTGGAGATGGTCGGTTCTTCCGGTTAGGACCCGAGCAATACATAAAAAAGTTAAACAATAAAGAATTTGTTTAGCCTTATAAAAAAGAATGTCCGGGAATTGTCATCGAAAGTGTCCGGAAAATGTCCATGTGTCCGGAAAATCAAAAATGTAGGGTAATTGCAGTATTCCATACGCCGAGACATTTTGAATTTCCGGAAAATATCCATAAAATGTCTAGGAGCTGGTGTCCAGAAAGTGTCTGGAATATTGCAATTTTCCGGACATTTTCGATGACAATTTCCGGCGGATATTCTTTTTTTATAGAGTAGATTAACATGTAGATCATTCCTTTTTTTTGGATAATGCCAGGCGGCATTGGGCCCTGATAGTAAATGAGCTTGTTATCATAACTCTAAACTAACCCTAAATCTCGCGCCCAACGCAACTATTAAACAACTTTAAAATTTTGATTGGTTTTTTTATTGCTTTGTTGTTGCAATCACTTGCAAGTATATATTAAATGCCGGTTCCAAATAGAAGCGGAACTGGAACTGCTGCAGATTGGTTCTCCCACCGAAGCTATTATGTAATTATATCAAAAACCGAAAAAAAATTTAATCCTTTCAGACAAGGACAATACATATTATACCTTAAATTCGCATGCGTACCTTTTCAGGGCATTTTCAATGAAACTCTTTCATGGAAAAATCATATGTTCCGTTCTTATGGTTTCTTGGTAAGTTTGATTTTATTTTTTCTATTTATTTGTATTTTGTATCTTTAGCCATGATTTCACTTTGACTTAGATATTCTTTATAGATTATGCAAATTATTCTCAATTTTTTTCGTTAACTTTGTATCTTTTTTTGGTTGATCTTTGTTCTTGTATCATTTTTTTGATTTTAATCTTTAACTAATTTCTTTGGATTCACTATTTTGCTTGCATCGATAAGTTACTTTATTTTGGATTTGTTTTATTGTTTTATTGTATATTGTCAACATTTGACTTTTAATCATTGAATGATTGATGTTGTTTGTTATAGAGATGCGATCCGAAATCCGGATAATCCGCCTTAAATCCGATCCGAACTCAGATAACGGATAATTTTCTTGATGCACCATCAATCCGGATTAATCTATCAGATAATCCGCTATCCGTTATTTATACGTTTGTATATAGTTGTATATAGTCGTTAGTGTAAGTTAATAACTTAATGTTTACTATAAAGACTTAAAGTATTAATATATTATCGAAATAATAAAACTGCTATAATTTACGATAGATAATATAAATATTTTTTAATAAATACAGTATGATAAGGCCGGACCAAACAAATAGTTCGTTTAACATAACCCAAATTTTTGACACTTTAAACTTATTATAACATGTATTAATTTATCTTAAAATAATTTGAAAGGTTATCGATGAGATATTATTTGATAATTTAATATGAGCTAAAACATCAATTATTCTTTTTTGTTTGAAGTTAAAGTTCTCTATAAAAATGAAGAACGGTGACATAGAATAGTCATATGTGCACGAAATATTTTTACATTTGGATGCTCCCAACTTCAATAGTAACATCATAATATTCATTATTTTCCAAAATTTCAATATAGGTTTGACTTTGAAAAAATTGAATAGACATTTTTAGATAAAAATTCAAAAAAAAAAAAATTTTTTTTAACCGTATGATCGGGCTTAAATTACATTTGTGCCACTGTTACCACCGGTTTATGACGATTGGTTAGGTAGTAACAGAAAGATAAATAAGGATCGATTAACAATCGGTACGTTAAATAGCAAGTGGTAAAGTAAATCGGAATATATATGGTGATGTAATTAGAACGTGTATATGTTAAGACTGTTAAGTAGCTGATAATCGGAAATAAGTCGTGTATAAACGAATAAACGATGTATAATAAAAAGTTAACAATTGATAATGAACACTGCGATAAAATGGGACGAGTCGTTTATCTATAAAAAATCGGAAACAAATCGGCAGGGTTTATTTATACTTACAGCTGATTTCATAATGTACGGGACACTTAGCAAATTTTAAAGAACTCGGAAATATTCGGTAAAGCTCAAAAAAGATAAAATTATACCACCATTCTCGGAATTGTACTCCAAAATTAGCGTATAATTTTTATTTTATATCAAGCTTTACCGAATATTTCCGAGTTCTTTAAAATTTGCTAAGTGTCCCGACCTTTTTGAAATCAGCTGTAAAAGTACAATATTACTGCTTCTGTCGGCGCTCTGTAATATTCGTACATCTATCTCTTTATAAAATAAAACCAAGCACACTCTTTTTAAACCCTCCACAAATCGGCCCTTTATATATCGTTCAAAATTCAGTACGAATTCGCCTATCGAATAAATTCGCCATCCGGCCAAACTCGCCGATCCGAAGATTTTGTCTAGTTAAGCCACTTCTATCTTAGCCACCCACCTCTAAGCCCTCTAAGCCCCGATTCTACGTAACCTATAAAATAAACTATATATACTATAAAATAAACTAAATAAACTACAGTATATAAAATATACTATAAATATAAATAAAATTATAGAAAAATAAAAAAAATATCCCGTATCATCACCAATATTGCGTACAAGTATTACAAATATACTAGCAGATCGGAAAAAAACAGTATATGTTTCGATTGTTTCGTCAATACACATCAAGTTGATGGATGGAATCATTTTCAGAAGTAATAAAGTAATAATTTTTTTTTTATTTTGCAATTAAATGAAGAACTGGTCCATATATTTATAATGTGACGATAAATTTAACTATATTCGTTAGGTTTTTTTCAGACTTCAATAAAATAATACACAAAGTATCAAATATATTTTATATTAACCACATTATATTACACTCCCTAAAATCAGTTTTTTTTTTTGAGGATTGAAAAGAATTTTTAAGCCTTTTTTTTTAAAAAAAAAAAAAATTTCACATAGTTACTCTATTAAAAGTAAATGAAAATAAAAGTTAACGTTATTTAGCATATTAAAAGCTTTTGCTATTTGAGAATTCTTATTATATTAAATGATTATAAAATGATTGAGCATGTTATTATTAAATAACATCGTACTTACTTTATCATAATTTTTTTTTTTTGTATAATTTTGATTTAATAAATATAACTTGATATTACAAACGGTGATGATGGTAGCGATTTCCCTTCAGAAAGAATTTATTCACAGTTATCAGATTTAAATTGAATCATGTAATGGTTTCTTAAACAAAAAATGTCATAAATGTCATGTATTATAAATAAGTAAAGCTCACAAAAGCTTTGATAAATATTATTAATGATCGATTTATTTTTTTTTCTTTGACTTATCATTATCAAATAAAAAATTAAGGTTATATTTATATAATTCGTTCATTGATGTTGTAAAAATTTTGTAATAATTAAATCATTTCATCAAAGAATTCTATAGACATAATAGTAATAGTTCATAAACCACATAATTATGTAGTACAATAAAATGTTGTATGATTATTAATCTACTCCATAAAGTATATATTGTTAGTATGGATGTTTTTCATTAGAAATGGAAATTATCTTCCATTTCCGATCTAAATTTTTTCTCTCTTCGTAGAAATGAAGTTTTTTTGAAAATTTTTTAGAATTTTTTCAAAATAAAATAGAAATCACTTTCCATACATATTTTATTCTGACAGGCTCCGGCGAAAATATGACGATCAGTTTTAATAAAGATTGATTCAAAAAATCATTGATTTCTTGTCCCCTAATTTCATGAAATTTGCGCTAATCAATCTATTCACACATTAAAATATTATTTCTCAAAAATTGCTTGTTTTCATAAGTTTCAACTACTCCTTTACATAAAGTTACTTAGGCAACGAATCATCATTTATATTATATTGTAGTTTAGGATGAAACCGATGTAGTGGCTCAGCTATACGTAATATTGTGATAAATTGATAAAGTTACAATATTGCGAACTCAAATAATA